TATATATATATATTAAATTGAGAAAAATACGTATTTTTATCGCATAATGAAACATCGATATTATAATTCAATAGTAAACTCAATAATAAAGCAATATTGAAAGATGAGAATTAATTCCGTATGATAAGCAACGGCGCAAATCACTTATTTTCGTGATGCATTGCGAGGAGATCCACATAGTCGTAACATTGTAGACAGGATTGCATCCAGCTGCCCGATATACAGTTATGTTTTCTCACATGTGTGTACCGTATGCACTGCTCCATAACAGATTCTCGCGCGGCGCAATGAGGCAATAATTAAATTGTGACTCGCGACTCGCGTTGCGATTCGCGACGTGTCATCGCGAGAAATTCTGTTATGCATACACATACCTGGCGTTAATCTTGATGGTGTTGTTGAATGTTCGCCCTCTCACTTATCATGTGCGCAATTTCATGCGTATGCATGAAATTGCGAAAAAATTACGATCGTGAATGTATACAAATCTCCACGCTCTCATCATAAATATCAAGATATTTATAATACTTAAATAGTATATCGTTTTGACAAGTTACGTTCGCGTAAAGTATAAGTAAAAACGTCATTGAATTTGGAAATTTCTTGGAAATTTTCCCATTTTCATTTGATCACTTTTTGAGTGAGCAGCAGTGGAAATTTTGATTAATATAAAACGGAACGCGATGGAATGTATAAATGTTAGATAACGTATGTTGCAGTAATAACGAATGTGGAACATCAGAATAAAAGTTATTGATTTAAATTGTACAGCATTGAGGGATAAATATTATAGATCGTTAACTCTTCTTAAAGGACTTTTCGGAGCTTTTTAACAAACTAACTTATGGAATATTGCTTGCTGAGTCTAAAAAACAATGAATTTCAAAAGAATACTCCAGGAAAGAGAATCCAGTGTTACAAGTGATAATCAGAGTTTGAAAATCAGTTTGGAAATCAGTATGCATAGCTTTGATGAGCTTCAAATAAAGTGAAATTTGATGTTGTGCTTTGTAATTAAAAATTCCATAAATCAAATTTTATGATAATCAAATTTTTTTTTTAATTCTGTCCGTCATATTGAATGCATTATTTCGAATCCATAATTTTTTTTTTTTTATTTGAATGTATTATCAAATTATCAGGAGACACAGTAGTGTCTCTCTCTCTCTCTGTGTTAGGACGAATCTTACAGTATTATAAATATCAAGTATTATAAATATCGAGCAAGCAATATATAAAATAAAAAGGGGTGACCATTCCACAGAAGCTTAAAAAATGAATTTTTATAGAGTACAGGGAATCTCAAATATAGATTTCCAGCCATTTGAAATATCTGTGTATTAATGAAAAATTTAACAGATGTTCAATTATAGACACAAAATAGATTAGAATCATTCTGTTAATCTTTAACAAAATTTAGAGAGTAGAGTTAAATTTGATTTCAGAGAAATCCTTCGATATGGTTTTCGGTATTGCATACTTAAAATGTAGCTGACCATCATCAAAAATCTCATTGTACTACAAAATCACATTATTTTCTTCTTTATCATACTACATCATCTACAAAGTGTTTATTGAGTTCCTTCATCGTACACGCTAAACATCTGCTGGTCTCCTTTACTTTAATCAGTTTCAAGTCATCATAACCTACTCCACAGAAGCAAGATTATCTTCTTGAACAAAGACGGATAGATAATAAGTCTTTGTTTCACAAACTATGTTCTGTACAATATTTTTCAAAGCTTTAATATTTATAACTGGCATTATTTCTATTCTCCATATTCTTCTAGTCTGTTCCTTTCACGCATATGCTTTTAGATCTCTTACGTCAGTCATGGTGCCGGTAGATTTCTAAAAAGAACATCTTATGCTTAGGAGCATGTTTGTTGAAATGATTTAAAAGTTACTGTTAAATATGTCCATCTAATAGCTTTGCCCTCGAAGGTATTAGAAGATATATGTATAAAATCTTATCAGGTCACATTCCTCTATGTCACAGAGAAAGCTTTGTTCATTAAAATTTTTTAAGTTCCTGCACAAAATTGAAATAATTGGGCATCGTTTAATATTAATTCGATATATAATACTGATCAAATTACGTCGACAAAAAAGAGATCGCAATCTTTCTCCCATAACCTTCTAATTTGCTTTCATCATCTGAGTGCGGTATTCATAGTTAGATCTTATATTTAGAACTGTCTTAAGATGTCACAAACCAATTAGAGAGCTGTATTAGCATCTTAAGATATTAGTTAAGAAGATTTTAAAATAAAAACCGACTGCGAATACTAGCCTATGGCTCAAAACAAATCAAGGAAGATGCTAAAACAGGGGAAGGAGAGAGAGAGAGAGAGAGAGAGAGAGAGAGAGAGAGAGAGAGAGCGCTGGGAAATGAAATTGCTTCTACTCGTATCGATAATAGATTATGCGAACAATGTATTCGACCATAATCACTCCGTGTCATTTATATTATCAGAGGCAATGGAAGTTTCGGAACGGAAACGAGATACGCGCATGCGCGCGGTCGCGACAATAAATCATGCGGTATGCGAATATGAGACTCTCATCTAGTTTACATCGTGCACTTGATACTAGTAATAATTTTTTATTGAATTATTTTAGTTTCAGTGATACGTATAAACACATACGATATGTGTATTTAATCATTTTGCATATTGTATCATTTTAGTACATTATATCTTTTTAAATACATTGCTGAAATTAACATAATTTAATAGAAAGTTACTAGTTAATACGCGTATCAAGTATTTAATAAAAGGGGCTTTTCTTCTAACAAACAAAGTCTGACAAAGCCTACAGAACGATAGATTGTTTCGCGTTACATATGATCATTTATTTTTAACAATCGTCTTGAGAAGCTGAGATATCCCTCTTTTTCGTCATTGTCTTGCGGACAACATTAATGAAATATGGATTGCTGTAAAGAGAGAGAGAGAGAGAGAGAGAGAGAGAGAGAGAGAGAGAGAGAGAGAGAGAGAGTTGGAAGTCTTTCCTCACGACATCCGTCATTCCTAAGACGATTATTATTCCGAGCAGCGTCTGTCTCTTTGCCATTGTTATCGATGCGGGGATAAAATGACTTTGATGTAGAATATTGCTATGATAAAATTAAAAAACGAAAAACAGAATCCGATCAAAATTTATATCTCAAAGTAATTTAATTATAATATATTAATTTTTCTACTAAATCTATAAGCGTTAATTATGTTTATTAAGTCTACTACTGAGCCTTTGAGTCAAGATGGAAATGAAAGAATTCCTGCAATATGATTAAAAAATGACTGTTACCTTAATTTAACTATAATTTAAGTGTAATTTTTTTATTCTAACTATATAATTTTTTAATCTTGCAAATAGCAGTTGGGTATGCAACTATATCGTGAAAATAATTTTTTTTTTTTCACTAGTAGAACTATACTATATGGAGAGAGAGAGAGAGAGAGAGAGAGGGGGGGGGGGGGGGGGGGGGGGGAGAGAGAGAGAGAGAGAGAAAGAGAGAACGAATAATTGTAGCAACTACAAATTTGATATAATTTGAAATTATAATATCTGATTAGTTTTACAGAGTAATAGCAACTATTATGATACTCAGCACTATAAAAATATAATAAGTTACAGCAACAATATTTGTATATTATTAATTTATAATAACGACTTAATTACATTAAATAATTACTTAGACCTACCTTATTACTTACCTCATACGGTGAACGTTAAAGTCACATTATTTTTTTCCTATTTAGTTGTTAAGAAGAAGATAACCTGACTTTAACGTTCATCGTATTTGGATAAACAGTATTAATATATGTAAAAACTCCCTATTATAGCATTAAAAGTACATTTACTTATTTATGCAGCATTTAATAAAAAATTATGAATTTGATAATGTATTGCCCAAATATCTATGTAAATAATTTCAAATTTTTATTAATTGTCGATAATATCGACAATTAATTCTTTAATTATTCTTGGACCTCCCTCTCCCTCCTCCGAATCCCATTGATAGACACGAAAATTTGCCCAATGCCGTGTCTTTAATAGTATCTCTTCTGTGGGTTTGAAAACGATCCTGAAAACTAAGAACACGCGCGGAAGTTCTTTCCTTTTAATCTCCGGAAATTTATGATCTTCGAAATATTAACAGCCCGATGTCAGTTTTAACCAAAATCTACCAGAAGATAAGACCAGAAGATCGCAAGCTCGATCGCGATTAATTTTCGGGGATTATTTTGAGGGTCTTCAAGCGTGTATCTTAAGAATCTCACTCAAAAGGCGTGATCAGAATACGAGCACTGATGGGATTTCCTTTTTTCTCTGCTTGCAGATATACGGCTACAGCTAAACGAGCAACTGAGATGTCTCGATGTAAGGATGGAAGCACAAGTCGCCCTTGTGGTCGAGCTCCAGGATTTCTTCCGCAAAAGAGCGGAATTGGAGCTGGATTACAGCAAGTCTCTCGACAAGATGGCTAGGAGCATTCAGTTGAGGCATAAGGAGCAGAAACAAAAGTAAGTATATCGTGTATATCAAATTTATATTTTATTATATAAGTACATCATGTTTATCAATTTTATATTTTAGTATATTTCTTTACATTTGTCATTATAAAGAACATTTGATGAGAAGGAATGCATAAATCAGAAAAATAACATAACGGCTAAAACATACAATTTCATCATCTTAGAAACATCGGCGCAAATGTGTAAGACAATTATGTAAATTTATATTTATAATGCGTCAAAATATTGGGAGTACAAATTAGTTCGGTCCGTTTTTTGTGTTCAAAAATGCATTTATTTCAAAACAAAATGAATGAACAGATCAATTAAAGTATTGTCCATCGCTGCCTACTACTTTTTCCCATCTCTCTCAGGCAATTTTCGAATTCCATCTCGAAAAAATGACTCGTTTTTGGATCCAATTTTGGAGCCAATTTTCGATTTCTGCGAAAGAAGTGAACTGACTTGCTAAATCGTGCTGCATTTTTCGGAACAGTAATCAGAAGGAGCAATGTCCGGAGAATACGACGGATGCGGTAAAACATCCCATTTGAGCGTTTCCAAATATTTTTTTACGACTTTAGCAACATGAGGCCAAGCATTGTCAGAAGCATTGAAGAAGAATAACTTTATCATGCCTTTGCTCGTATTCTGGCCGTTTTTTTCGCAATGCACGGCTCAAACGAATCAATTGTAGCCAATACCTATCGCCCGTAATGGAATCGCTAGGTTTCAGCAGCTCATAGTAAACAAGACCCTTTTGATTCCACTAGATACAGAGCATGATCTTCGAACTATGAATGTTCAACCGTGGTGTTGATGTTGAGGTCGATTGACTGGGCTTAGCGTAGTATTTTTTCTTCTTGCAGTTGTCGTAGAATATCCATTTCTCATCTCCAGTCACAATCCGATGCAAAAAACCTTTTCTCTGTTGTCTTTGAATCAGCTGTTCGCAAATGAAAAATCGCCTTTCAACATCTCTCGGTTTCAGTTCATAAGGTACCCAATTTCCTTGTTTTTGAATCATTCTCATGACTCTCAATTGTACAGAAACGGCTTACGATTAAGTTACCCCCCAATGATTCTGCAAGCTTCTCTTGCGTTTGACTCTGATCTTCTTCGAGTAATGCCTCTAATTCTTTGTCTTCGAATTTTTTTGGCTGTCCAGAGCGAGGCTTGTCTTCAACGCTGAAATCTCCATCCTTGAAACGTCGAACCCATTCCCTACATGATGATGTATCAGTTGGAGCAGTGTCACCATAAACTTCGACAAGCATTCGATGGGCTTCAGCCGCACTTTTCTTCCAATTAAAGCAGAAAATCAAAACCTCCCGCAAATGCTGCTTAGTTAACACAAAATTCGACATTTCAAATACAGTAAAAATCAAGGTTTTTGTAGGAAACTCAAAGCGATATAGACTGAATATTATTAGCAGATGTTTAACCTCTCTGAAACCGCCAAAATCAGCTGTCACTATGAACCATTCACAACAGCTAGAGCCATCTTTTAGGGAAACGAACCGAACTAATTTGTACTCCCAATAATATATTATTATTTAATTGACATTTTTATCGTAAGAGAATTACCAGCTTAGGAGAAAAGTTAAAATGAACAATAATAATTTTAAGTAGTTTTACATCTTTCCCCCTTTTTTTTATTAAAAGTGCGATAGAACAAAATTACAACGTTACAGACGTTTGTTAACTGGATATAAAGCAAAATGGCGAAAAAGAAAAATAATTCTGTAGACTACAATATTAAATAATTAACGACGATGTGTCAATTAATTGTAATTCAGGCTCGTGTACCACGTGTTGCACGATGTAATGATGACGCGTATAACATTAGATACATTTGCGTTTACATTTGCAATTACATTACACATTGTGCAATGCGAATTGTTTCGCGATTATATTACATAAATTTTAATTGAGCTTGCGATTATAATTGAGATATAAATTTTGATTGTATATGATTACATTTACAGTTATGAAATGTATGATTGAAATTGGCGCGGAGATCGATCTAGATATCTTAAGTATCTATTGCAAAACTGTTCCTATACTAAAATCAACAACGATCTCAAATATTTGAGTATACTTCCAAGAAATTGTATTTCTTCTTCTTAAGAGTTAATATTGTATCATTAAATGTTTGCAGAAGATAGAAATTCATATTTTTTTTTAAATTAAATAGCAGCACTAGGACGAATAGTCTGCAGGATATCCTACAAACAATCCAGAGAATATCCCTAGAATGTTCCTCGGATAAAGTGTAATAGTTATATACGTATAATTTAAAATATTTATTATTAAGTGTACAACGACTTTAATTAACGGCTGCACCAGTGTCCATTAGTGCGACTGATTTTGCTATTACAGCAATGGTCTGTGATTTACGTTCGCGATATGGCGTTCACTCTCTAGCAGCTGCGCGCGCAGTCTTTGTACGCGTGTGATTCGCTACCCGCTTCTCCCGGCGCGGTGCAGTCTGAATGCGTTCCGTTTTTGGCTCACAGCGTTTGTAAGCATCATTTGTCATTGTTTAATATTTTAGAAAACAAGAATGGAGTGATGTTTACAGTGTGTGAGCGTAAAAACAGAAACGCATTCCATATATATGGTCATTGACTTTAAGGATTGTCACTTTTGGAAACAAGATTTAAGGCGGCCATAATACCGAGCACCGTGGCGTCAGTAGCACATGCAATTTACAAATAAGTCTAAACAGATTCGATAAACTTAGAGACTCGCGGCAATTGAACATAAAGAGTGAGGTAGTGCCATTAGTATTTAATAAAATATACGTGTGATACATGTAGACTGCATCTTACTTAACGCTGCTCTAAAAATTATAACGCATTCTCTTGCATAATTATTAAAAGTACACATATGACTATTATTTCAATGCATAATTTATATCGGATTATGACATTATAATAACGCCGATAAAATAAACGTGTGATACATAAGCTGCATTTCATTTAAAAATTATAATGAAAATTATAATGAACTAATTTTTATATATAACGCATCTTTGTATAAGTACAGATAATTAAAGTATGACTTTTTTCAATGTATGATCGTATTGGATTTTGTGCTTGTTTGGACAGACATTCCATAATATGGAATGACAATAAAATAATTTTATGTATTGCAAATATTTTTCCTTATACACTATCACTCATTGTAAGAAAATTAAACTCTAATTACGGATTCTTATTTAATTTGGAGAAGATTCTTATAGCATATAAAATCGCGTTGATATTACGTTGATATTACGAGTTTAAACTTACAGCCTTATAAATATAAAGCGCCTTCAATTGATTGTATTTTCTTGGAAAAAAAAAACGATAATAAAAGTCAAATTAGAACTAATAAAATTAACATGTTTATAAAAATAAATATTTTTTTCGCTAAAACTGTTTTTTAAATTTAGTTTTTGTTAAATATAAACCATGTAAATCAATTTGTGGGAATATTTTATAATAAATTATAATCAAGGCTGTATTTCATTGTTAATATTACGTTATAGTATCAGAAAAGTATTAATTAATGAATAAGAGAGTGTATGAGTTATGAATAAAAACGTATGAAGAGATATTTTATATATATATATATATA